CGGAGTCGGCCCCGCCCCACGGCGCGGCGCGCGCTGCGCCCACTCTCGTCTCTCGGCGGTGGTGCGGCGCTGCTGGGCAGGCTGCGGGCGGTGGGGCAGGAGGAGAAGCCGGCTCCACGTGCGGCTGCTGTACGGAAGGCTGTGGTGACAATTGTTATTACTATTCTTTTTCTTGATGACAGTGACCACTATTATTTACTTTTCCTGATTGCACCAGGCTTAACTCGGGTATCTAGAATCTGGGCTGGCATTCTTTAATGCTGCACTTTTGCGCATTTTGGTCCCGTACTAATTTTGCAGTGCCCCCGAAAAGTGAACGTTCCGTTTTCTTTCTTTACTTTAATGCAACCTGTTTTGTCTTTCTGATCCTTTAAAGTTCCTGACTGAAGCGGAATTGTATAGAAATGGAAGTATTAGGGATCCAAGAGGGCTCTAAAAGAAACCCATTTCTTACTGTCATAGTCATTTGTTCCGACTATCGTGTTGTGATCTTGTCTCCTCTGACATGTTGATGAACTCTGTCATGGTGTTGTATGTACCGTGATGGATACCTTGTGTGTTTGCATGTATGTGCATGTTTCTCTGGAGGTTTGAGGGAAAGAACACCAGAAAGAATTCATTAGGAAGTGGAAATCCTAACTCAAAAAGTAAACTAAATGGAGCTTCCTTCCTGATTTGGTTTTGTACAGGTGCAGGAACTTTATAACAGATATTGGAAAATGAGAGACTTCTGTATATATATCTTTCTAGCTTTGAGTGTCTTTCAAGATTCACACCCTTACCATGTATTTCTTCTTCTCCTTGGTAGCAAACATATGTTTAAACAATCGATGAAAAAAGTGGAAAAGTAAAAAAAAAAAAGTATTTTATCAGACTCTGGAAAATATTACACAACTTGTTTTCCTTTAGAGTATTAGCATGTGGTTTATTTTCCTTGAAAGATTACTGTGTCCCAGTTATACTGCTACCCCAGACCATGAATTTATTCCACTTTGTGTCTGCCTGCCTTATAGATTGATTAGCTTCTCAGAAAGATAAGAAAGCTGACAAAAGGCAGATCTGATGACAAGGTTTAGTCTCAAGTAATATGTATTGTGCATATTGTAAGTGTCAAAAATATTTATATTCTTAAGCATAAAATGTGTGACAATGTATGTGTCAGTTTCTATGCTCTTAAAAGCCATCAGAACCATGAGAACTACTGGAATTCAGTTTTGCTGACCGATGCCGTTAAAATGTATGCTTAGTTTTTCGTAGTCAAAATCAAGACATTGCACTTCTCACTATTTTTTTTTTTTAAATGCTCTGTCACACATGGAATCAGCAGGCATCAGGATTCATTTCTTCCATACTGTTAGCAAGTATAAAGTCAAAACTTAGGGCTATTTAATATGTAACCTACTCAGGTGTGTACATTTTGCCTTTTTTTTTTTTTTTTTTTTGAGTTGGAGCCCCACTCTGTCACCCAACCTGAGTGCAGTGGCACACTCATGGCCACCACAACTTCGATCTGCTGGCCTCACGCGATCCTTCCGCCTCAGCCTTCCAAGTAGCTGGAACTACATGTGCACGCCACCATGCCTGGCTAATTTTTTTTTTTTTAATTTTCTAACAATTAACATCTACTGGGCACTTACTCTGTGTCCGGCACAGGACTAAGTCCTTGACACAGATGATTTCTTTAAATTCTCACAAGAAGCTTAGTTAGGTACCATTTTAACTCAATTTTATAGGAAATCCCTGGGGCTTAAAGAGGTTAAGCAACTGGTCCAAGGGCACAGAACTAGCAAGTAGCAACTGAAGAATTTAAACCCAGATGAGCTGAACTAAGCTATGCTGACTTTGATCGAAATTTGATGCAGATATCAGAATCCTCAATTAATGTGATAATTGTGAAGATGAAACAAAATCGATGTCTCCCAGCACTTTGGAAGGCCAAGGCTGGTGAATTGCTTGAGCTCAGGAGTTCAAGACCAGCCTGGACAACATAGGAGACCTCATTTCTATGAAAAAATTTAAAAATTAGCTGGGTTTGGTGGCATGCACCTATAGTTCCAGTCACTAGGAATGCTGAGGTGGAAGGATTGCCTGAGCTCAGGAGGTGAACCATGATCATGCACTGCAGAATGCCATGTGACAGAATGACACTCCAACTCAAAAACAACACCCAAAACACAGTCAATACTTAGAACAGTGCCTTCCACATAATAACAAACATTGCTCATACTTAACCTAATACTAAGAAACAAATATTATTTAACTTCTTTTGGTGAAAGATAATCATTTAATATCTAATATCACATCTAGTATCAGCTGGTTGCAGAAAAAGTCTAAAATGATCACTGCAGCTAAGAAAATACAGAACTGATTCTGAGAATTCAGGGTAGCATGAATAAATAGTATTATTCTACCCAAGCAATATAGTAATAAATTGCTAAAATAAAAGTAAAAATCTCAAGTAGTTATAGATAAGTGGAGCCTTTGGAAATGATTTAAAGTTTCATTTCATTGTCTAAATGATTAAGCCTTGAACTAATCATTAAAATTGTTTTTATAAAGTTTAAAGCTTAGCACCTAGAAAAGTGCCTTATGTTTAGTATGTTTCCAATAAATCAACCTGGAATGAATGACTGAATTCATAAATACACTTTTAAAAGCAGGCACTGCCCTTTCATAATGTTTGGGATTTTTTTTTTAATTCCATTATACAGGTTATATGACATTTCCTTATTAGCAATGTTTTAAAAGGAATCCTAGGATCTATTTTAAACAAAGAAAAGGAAATAACTATCATCTTGAAAGACAAAAATAAATAACTAGCCAAAAATAACTACAAACAGAATAATGTTCTTGTCTCTGTAGTGAGATATAAGGGGAAAGAAAAAAAGCAGCTTCTTCAAAACATCTTTATTAACATTCAAGAAAATAGAAAACCACCCTGTAGTCATCAGCATGAAGATACATGAAATAAACATGTCCATTTAAGCCCCCGTGATTGATAAAAACTAAAGACATTTTCCAGAATATATAACTGATGTAAACTGGTAAATTCAGACCAAGAAAATATCTCTTTTTCAAAAGCATTTTAGTGCCCTGGGTTACCCTAGAGACTCAACAATTGAAAGAATATGTGCTCATAAGTAACCATTCTTTAAAAGTACTTTTAAAAAGTAATATGAGCCTTAAAAACACAAATTATTCCAGTTATTTCCACAAGGTAAAGCATTAAATTAAATCTATAGTGTTTAGCACATGTCTGTTTAGTACGTCTGTCCTGTTTAAAAGAAAAATAAATAAATAAAAAAGAAGTCCACAGAAAATAGTAAGGATTCTTAGCAACACTTTATATCATTCCAACAGAACCGACAGCAAATCTGATGTTCTCCATGCATTCCCCACTCATTAGGGAAATCAATAGCATTACCTGTGAGGTGCTTGGGGTTATGTTTACATAAGGCTTTTATCTAATTTTAGTAACATTAAAAAAACGCACGCACACAGGATGTCTATAACCTTGGCGTTTACCATTACCCTGGCATCCTTAGTACAATTTGCTAATAGAGTGAAAGCATTGCGGTTTAGTTTGAGAAGCTTCTTTCACAAGGTTCTGCCAAACTGCAAAGCTGATTGTACGAATAAATAGGCTGACTGTATTGATATTAAATAAAATAGACCCGTAAAATCAAACAGAGAGTGACATTATTTTTAAAAGACATAAATTGAGGTAGTAATATTTTCAAAAAAATAATAAAAATCTAAAAAATTGTAAAATAATACAAATTATTTTACATTATATACATAATGTGATGTATGCTTCCTTTTTCTTTTCTTTCTTTCTTTTTTTCTTTTTTGTTTGTTTAAGAAAGCAGGATTTATTGAGAGGACAGAAAATCTCCCACAGTGGGAGGGGACTCGAAGGGATTGCCCGTGATGTGTACTTTCTAACTCCATCCTACATTGGTATCATTTCCACAGATGTTTTAGAATAACATATGTAAATATAAAACATACCAATTCAGGAATTTAGTTTTCATAATAACTACATTATTTGCCTAAATATTTGGTTCTATGTAGCATAAGGGAAAATGTGCCGGGTGCAGTGGCTCACACCTATAATCCCAGCACTTTGGGAGGCTGAAGTAAGAGGATTGCCTGAGCCCAGAGGTTCGAGACCAGCCTGGGCAACTTGGTGAGACCTTGTCTCTATAGTAAATCAAAAAATTGACTGGGTGTGGTGGTGCTCACCAGCTACTTGGAAGGCTGAGGCAGAAGCATTGCCTGAGCCCAGCAGGTAAGGCTGTGGTGGCCACGAACGGTGCCACTGCACTCCAACCTGGGTGGCAGAGTGAGACTCCACTCAAAAACAAAAAAAAGAAAACTAAAATAAGAAAAGATATGGCCTAGGTTTCCTAGATCCATTGTTTCTGCTTTATATGATGATAATCAATGTTAACTCAAATATTTGGAGGGCTAGACAGTACATCCTGGGCATTTATTCCTAAAATTTCACACTTTGTTTGCTAATGTCTCCAAATGTTGGAGAATGTAGTTTGCAGTTCTTAGATTGTGACACAAATGCTGTGCTCTAGGCAGTGTCCTACATTCTGTCACTGGTTCTTACACTCCTCTGGGCCACAGAGGAACTGTGGGACAGCTTGTACCTGAAAGAGTCCAAGTACAGTGACATAACTAAGGAGGCCTTGACACTCCCCTCACGTGAGTTGGGTCTGGGAGCTGCCTTCAGCATTGAATGAGCTGGGCTGAATCCATGATGAATTTCGTCCAGTAACCCAAGGATGAAAGCCGCTTTGTTCTCAGCATCCTCCAGGCCACCTGGTGAACCTAACAAAGGTGGAAAAGGGCAGTTCTTTTGAGTGGCAAGAGGAAAAGGTGTGACAAAAGCAGTCTTTCTCAAATTTTTTCTAATGTGCACACTGATGGGTCTAGGGAGTCCTCAGAACTGGCTGTTATTTAGTCCTAAATTTAGGAGGAACACATGCCACGCCCATAAGATGTCTAAGATACATGCCCTTTGTTCAGCCCTCAACAAATACCTGTGGCATTTAGAACCCCGGGTGAACAGAAATGCCTTGAAATAACGTATTCTTCATTCTAATGTCCGTAACAATTTTTGACCTTCAACAGTAGATGCTTTGATTTTCAAACCTAGCATTCTGCCTTATGCTCACTGTCATTATTGAGTATGTTTTATTCATAAAGTATTGTGAGACTAAAAAATTGTGTATGAGGAGTAAGGGTGGAGATGAGCACAGATTCCCCAGAGATGTAATGGTGCATTATATCCTCTGGGTTGTGCTGATAGAGAGGCTTACATTTCTTGTTCCACAACTGGACAACTAGAACTCTAACTTAGGTTTCAGTGTCGTATCGTTTAATATAATTCTGACAGTTCTGCATTTCTAACAATTGCAACCTCCATCCTTATGTTTTGATATCAGAAATTTTATAAGTATTGAATTTATTTTTTAATTATATAGGTATTGGAGTCTTTTTTTTTTTTTTTTTAAATAACAAGATGTTTCACAATGCTGCCCAGGCTGGTTTTGAACTCCTGGATTCAAATGATCTTCCCTCCTCGACCTCGGAAAGTGCTAGGTTAACAGACATAAGCCACCGTGCTTGGCCAGGGTCAAACTTAATAAAAGTTTCAGGAAGTTGCTTCTCCTTCCACCCTGCCCCAGGCAGTCACCTGCTAGTTGATATGGAGAAAGTTCCTTCATTTCTTCCATCAGTTTTCCAGGTGAGATAATACCCAACAAACGAAGAAGATATGGTATCCAGTTCTATTCAGAAGCCTCAGAGAAGACAGCACGGGGTGCTTTATTCTTTCCTCTACTGCTCTTCCAAGCAAGCAGCTATGCTTTCATAGGTTTGGCATATGAGGCACTGCTTAAGACTTGCTTTGAAGAAAAGGTTCTGTGGCTACAAGAGATTTGCATGCAAACCACCAAACTAGATGCTTTTAGGTATTTTCAGTCTTGAGACTTAGTCTGTGCTCCTGCTTCAGGATGGAGCAGGATGAGATGGGACCTTTCCCTGAAAAGGTTGCCCATAGAAACCTTGCATGGCCATTGCTGATGGGGTACCTTCCTTGTATCCAGGAACTTTGCACATACCATTGCTTTCCAAACCACTCGGAATCAGACCAAAAGGAAACGACACCACTGCTTTTAACAGGGGCAAAGGAAACCAGAGCATTCCCTTCTTCTTCACCCCCTACTTCCATACCCAGACTCATGGCATTGAAAAGGATGACTTCGAGAGGATTTGCAACTTGGTGTATCACTTTACCCAGGTGTTCCTACTCAGGAGAAGAAAAAGCACCTCACCCTACACACTCACCTTGGATGTTGGCAATACACAGTTGTGAGGCAGTTGATGTCCTCAGCAGTAATGGAATCAGTGATGATGCTGGCATTCTGAAAGGACCTGAAGTGATAGACCATGGTGATTGAAAGTGGAACCATGAGCATAGCAAATCCGGTTTGGCACCATTTGCTTAGTAGAAATCATTTAGTTAGGAACCAGAAGGGCCAGTTTTGCTAATCTTGTACTGTGCACTGTAAGATGAGCTGTGATAAATTGGAACTGTGATTTTAGACCTATACCTGAGGACTAGATCTGGCCCAGTGTGTTCCCTAATAAATGTGTCTCACTAATGTATACTTACTTTAATGGGCAAAGAGTCGTTTCAAAGAGAAGTGTTTTATGTGAGGTATAGAAGTATTTGAGAACTAATTACTTTGAAAATTTCCTGCAGTTGTCAGCTGTGGAGGTGTGCATTTTAAGAGAACAGAATTTTGGCCAGGTGTGATGACTCATGCCTGTAACCCCAGCACTTTAGGAGGCCAAGGTGGAAAGATTGCTTGAGCCCAGGAGTTCGAGACCAGCCTGGGCAACATAGTGAGACCTCGTCTCTACAAAAAAATCTTAAAAACTAGCCAGCCATGGTGGCAAATACCTGTAGTTCTAGTTACGTGGGAGGCAGAGGTGGAAGGATCACCTGAGCACAGAAGGTCAAGGCTGTGGTGAGCCCTGAGCCCTGATCATGCCTGGGCGACCAAGTCAGACATTGACTCAAAAAAAAAAGAAAAAAAAAGACAACATTGCAAGTTAGTTGCTGACAAGTCCTGGCTAAAGGATTAAGGAAGCACAGAAGGGAAGGGCTCTAGCTGAAGAGGAAGACAGCCTCCTATCTCCTGCTTGATCTCTAGACCTCCCCCAAATGACCTTCTCCCTTCAGAAACATCTACACAAAGATTAACAAGCATCTTTTTTCCAGGTACCTCATAGTGCCTCTTTAAAATAGGAGGGACAGACTTTTGATGGGAACAGGGTGAAGCACAGGAAGCTGGTACCCTCTGAGGAGATCACACAGCCATAGTCAGAGATAAGATGATCTTGTCTCCTGAAGCTAGTAAAATATCCTTTATGGTGGTTTTATACTGTTTGTTTTTAAACAGTGGGTGTACTTCTGAAATGTAGGATAAGATCATGAAATTTACATAAGAATTATCATTACTGAGTTAGCATCAGCTAGCTTCATCCTAAGTCACCAAAGGAAGATCCAAGGGAGTTGTTGGGAAATATTGTCAGCTGTGATGTCAATCTAAACATTTCCAAAACTAATGGGAGTCAGGAGACCTGACTCTAGTTCTGATACCACATAACTTCTGTTGTTTACCTCTGTGAACCTCCATTTCCTCACCTTAAAGGATCTTTCCCTATTCTGTTACTAAATTCCCATTTATAAACTATTATCGATCAGTTACTTATCCATAAATGTAACTAAATAATGATCGACTATGTTGATCTTTTTCACATATACTTATCTTGGAGTGTAAATGTCTGTAAGTCTATTCAGTTTTCAAGTACCAGACTAGGTGATTGCTATTGAATAATATCTGTCAAGCTTCAGTGGATGGAAGCACTTGACATCAGTAGTTCCATGATTTAGTGCACAAAACCATGTGTGTACTTCATGGATTTTTTTTTTTTGAGTTGGAGTCTCACTCCATCACCCAGGCTGGAGTTCAGTGGCACACTCACAGCCACCCAGCGTCAACTTGCTGGGCTTCAGCGATTCTTCTGCTTTAGCCTTCCAAGTAGCAGGAACTACAGGCACACACTACCATGCCTGGCTAATTTCTTTATTGAATTGTAGAGATGAGGTCTTGCCAAGTTGCCCAAGCTGGTCTCGAACCCATTGGCTCAGGCAATCCCCTTGCCTCAGCCTCCCAAAGTGCTGGGATTACAGACTGAGCCACCGAGCCTGGCCGACTTTATGGATTTTTATCAGCTTCTGCTCCAACCTTTGTATTTGTAATTGAGTGTTTTAGTTGCAAAGTAATTTCTGCTTGTTGGAGAAAAAACATCATTCAGAAACGTTATTATTGGTTAGGAACCATCTTCTCTATCTTCTCCCTGATCCCAAATGTTTGATGTATAACATTCCAGAATTATTTATATGCACATATATATACAACATATACATCTGTATGTGTATATATACATATGTAAACATATACTTTTATGTAAAAAGATTACATTATATTATTTATAATGTAAATTTAATTTTTTTCTCTTAACCTTTTTTTTTTCGAATCAAGGTCTCTCTCTTTCACACAAGCTGCAGTGCAGTGGCAGAATCATGGCTCATTGCAACCTCGAACTCCTGGGCTCAGGTGATCCTTCCATCTCAGCCCTCCCACGTAGCTGGGATTACAGGTGTGCACCACCTTGTCGAGCTAATTTTTTAATTTTTTGTAGATATGAGGTCTTGCTATGTTGCCCAGGCTGGTCAACTCCTGAGCCCAAGCAATCCTCTTGCCTCAGCTTCCAAATTGCTGGGTTACAGGTGTGAGCCACTGCAGCCTCTCTTAACATTTATGTCAGACATCTTGTAGAACAGTAGACATGCATCCACCTGATTCTTTTCAGTATCAACCTTTGATTTTACAGGCTAAGCACCTTAATTTTCAGTATGTACAGTATTGTATAAAAACACTGAATGAGGGGTCATGAAATTTGTACATGTTTATTGTAGAAATATCAGATTATACAAATAAATAAAAGAGAGAGAAAATAAAAATGTCCTGTAATTATTTAATTAGATATAACTTAAAATTGTTAATGTATATACCTAAAAACATCATTTTACATGTATACAAATACACACATATGCACATATTTTCAATTAGAAACTATTCTGTGTTACACTACTATTTTATATGCTATTATTCCTCTACAAAATGAGAACTTTTTGAAAATGAGAATATTTTAAAGGTTTTTTAAAATAAAATATTCCCTATCTGTATTCCAGAAATCTTGATTTAATGCTTCTACCAGCTATGTGTAAGAGTGTTAATTTTCCTTAATTCTAACTGTTCCTGGGAATTAACAAACTTTTAAATCTTCATTATTCTGATTGCTAGACACTAGCATCTTATTTTTTAAATAATTTTATTTTTAATTGACAGCTCATATATTTATGGAGTGTAGTGTGATGTGGAATGATCAAATTAGGCTAGTTAGCATACCTATTACCTGAAATATTTATTATTTCTTTATGGTGAGAATATTTTAAATCCTCACTTTGAGCTATTTTGAAATATACATTATTATTAACTGTTGTCACCTTGCTGTGCAGAACACCAGAACTTAATCTTTTTAACTGTAACTTTGTACCCGTTGACCAACTTGGTACCTGTTAACCTCTCCATCCCTGTTCGCCCCCACCTCCCACCCCCAACCTCAGCCTCTGGTAATCACCATTCTGCTCTCCACTACTATGAGTTCAACTGTCTTAGATTCCATATGTAAGTGAGGTCATACAGTATTCGTCTTTTTGTGCCTGGCTTTATTTCTCTTACCATAAGTCCTCTGTTTGTCTGTGTTGTCACAAATGACAGGATTTCCTGGGTTGGCTTTTGTTGTTGTTGTTTGTTTTAAGACTGAATAGTATTCCATTGCGTGTGTGTGTGTGTGTGTGTGTGTGTGTGTGTGTGTGTGTGTGTGTATAACTTTTTTGTAAAATTTTTTTGAGATGAGGTCATGCTGTGTTGTCCCAGCTGATCGAGAACTCCTGGGCTCAAGGGATCCTCCGCCTCAGCCATTCAACTAGCAGGGACTATAGGTATACACCATGGCTCTTGACAATATTTTTGAAAGATGATTTCTCTTTAAGTTATAAAACTTGCATTTTAGAACTTATGTATTATTGATATTATTATTTAGGGTTTTTTTAGTTGGAGGTCTCACTCTGTTGCCCAGACTGGAGTATAGTGGCTCACCATAGTCTCCCCTGGGCTCAGGAGATCCTTCTGCCTAAGCCTCTTGAGTAGCTGCTGCTACAGGCGCATCACCGCACCCAGCTAATTTTTTTTTTTCTTAGTAGATACAAGATCTTGCCATGTTGCCCAGGCTGATCTTGAACTCCTGGGCTCAAATAATCCTCCTGCTTCAGCCACCCAAAGTGCTGGAGCTACAGGTATGAGCCATTGCACCTGGCCATTTTAGAACTTATTTAAGGAGAGTTACAAATTCAATGTAATCTCATTGGGCTGGTGCATATAAAAGTATATTTCAGTGCTCAGTTCTGTGATAGCCTAGAGGGAGAAGAAGAAGGAAAGAAAGAATATTATGAAAAAGAATATCTTAAATTGAAGGCCTTGGTTCTATAAAATGATTCAAGACTCTGGTGTCTACTTATTTTCTCCTTGCAGTGTGCCACCTGAAATTACCAGGAGTTGACCCATGTCATTCTAAAGATGTGTGTCTGCTGTTTAGAGTCATTTGCAAACATCTTGTTAAAATGAAGCAAATAAAAAGGAAATGTACAAATGGCATTATGTTGTAACTTGAGGACTCTACTTTCTTGAGATTTTGTTTTAAGAGGTTTTTTTAATTAATTTTTATTTTAAAGATGTGGGGTGCAAATCAGGGTTAGGTATACAAATGGTCATTATTCAGGTAAAGTTTGGGCCTCACTTTGGTCCCCACTTCACCTGGTTTGAGATCAAGTACCCTTATTGATGAAGTGTGCCACCCCCCACTGCCCCCCACGGCAGTTTCACAGTTCTGCCAATCCCTTTCTTGTAGTATTGTGATAATTGTTCAGGGTTCGCTTATAAATGAGAACATATGGTACTCACTTCTTTGTTTCTGTGATAGATCACTGAGTATTATAGACTTTAAATCCATCCAAGATGCTGCAAACTTCATAATTTTGTCCTTCTTTATGGCTGTGTAATATTTCATCATGAATATGGGCCACGTTTTTTAAATCCAGTCCACTTTCGATAGGCAGCATTGTTGGTTCCATGTTTTTGCCATTGTGAATAATGCTGCAATAAACTTGCGTGTGCAGGTATCTTTTTTTATAGAGTGATTTGAGTTCCTCTGGCTATATTTCCAGAG